CGTTTCAAGCCATGGTGACCCCATAGCTCAGTATGTGTGTGTACTCCAGATACCCCCCACAAAGGGTCCAGGTGCTAATTGGCCACCCACTCATGACCAAAACTGGGTGCTTTTATCATGAGTCCTAGGATCCTACAAAAATTTATATGCAGCGAGGCACAGGGCAACCCAATCCAGCTCCATCCCATGATAGTCTGAGGCGGTGACAGAGGGATTCTGGTTGAACTGTTTGGGGCTCTGCTTGGTGATGTTTGCCAGACATCTAAGGCTGGCAAAGAAACAGAAATCATTGCAAATGGGAAAGAAAGGCACAGCTGAGCTATGGGAGTGAAGAGAAAATTGAAATGTATTCAATGTGGGGGCTTACGATGACATGAAAGGGAGTCAGTGCTGAGTGGGACTGAACACAATGGGCACTAATATAGATCTCACTTACAGTGGTTACACTAACCAATCTTTGTGGTAGGTTCCCAAGAGTATGCTTGCACCATATGGAGCATGTGTTTTATAGTCATGCTCAATGTTGGCTTTATCATTGTTTTCCATTACTGAGCGCATGTTGCAGTAATTTAATCACAGAACGTATTTAGTGAACTTTCCTTGTATGCAAATACAAGACAAGGGGCTCCCCCCACAATGTTGATGGAGGGCAGGGAACCTCATCCTATATTTGAGTAAATATGGTAACTAGTAAACTTCTAAGCAAACTGGGCAGGGCACTGTGTGTGTGTGTGTGTGTATATGCACACACAAGCCCGTGCTACAAGGGAGCTCTACTGCCCATGTGAGTGTATACAAAAGGGAGCTGTCAGCACCACCTTATTCCATGGGGGCCTGTGAGGCCAGAGATGGAAGTGGCTGCAGCAAGAGGGGGTGATGGCCCAGCTCAAGTCTCTCTTACATTTCATTATTGCAATGTTATGGTTATTCATGCATGTTTTTCCAGTTTGTTTAAAAACGTATTTCCAGTCTTTTTTTCCTTTCCTTTCTCTCTCTTTTTTTTAAATGCACTGTACCATATACATTAGCTTTTGAAACAGAGTGCCACTAAATTCAGAAAAGTTCTGGAGGGCTGCCTTGAGAAAAGATTGAGAACCACTGGTTTAGGGAACAAGATAACAGCAACAAGGAAAAGGTTGCTGGATTATGGAAAAACTCTACTCACTTCTCCTCTGCAAGTTTTGGGGACGGAACTTTTGGAAGGAGCTTCCTGCGTTGCTGAGCTTCCTCTAAGAGATGTTCATCCTTAGGGAAGATCCCTACCATTAAATCCATCGTAGTTTTTATTTTCACATTGGGATCTAAAATATCTGCTAAAGATTTATCTTTGCCCACAATTTCTCTGGCTAGTTCCTCCGATTTCCAGTCTTCCAAGGTCTTCTCTTTAGCTTTCACATAACTGACTGCAGGAACAGCAGCATCACTGCCCTTCACGTTGTTTCCAAGTGCTTCAGCTGGTTGGGTATCAGGCAGTTTGGTTCTGCTCTCATGCTCTGGTTCCACACTTTGCCTTGTGTAAGCACAGAAGCGTGAGTATGACTGCTCAGAAGTGCTAAGTGTTTTAATTTGGTCCTTCTCCAAACCACTAGGCAAGGCAGGAGGCTCCATGGTAGTTGTGAGGTTCTGTCGACTCTCCTTCTCTGCACTGCTCTCAGAATGAACTATCTTGATGGGAACCATTTTTACAGTGGTGTTGTTATCTATCACTCTCTCGATTCTGCAACAAGAGGAGAACATTAATTGTTTCAAATGCAAGCAAGAGCTTTTCCTCCTGATTCTTAACCAGAAATTGGGAAGAAGTCTGCATACCAAAAGAACTATTTATTAATAAATGAGCTGTACAATGGAAAAAGTTCTTATATCCTGAAACCCAAGTTTATGGATTTGCTTTTTTCATGCAATTTAAAATTAATATATTATTTTACTTATCTAAAATAAGTGCATATTTTACTTGCTTATCAGCATCACTCTACACAAAACTTTTCTGTAAGCTATGAGACAGAGAGTATCATTAGAACTAAGCTGAAGCCTACAAAGCTTACAAAAGATTTTTTTTTAAATGATATAAAACACAGAAGTTTCATAAACAGAACCTGATTTAACTTCACTGCAAGAAATGTTTATAATAGGGAAAGAATAAAGGGCGGGGAAACTCAACTACTTAAAGAATTTTGTACATAATTCTACATTGTTTTGTAAGAGGCAGCTTATAGCAGGGAACCTTTGACAGACCAATGACCAATCTATGCTTAAAACAAGATATTCAAATCAAGCAAATGGCTTTTCTGTAAAAAAAAGGAATTTAGATTCTAAATTAGAACACGTTGAAAACTACGACAAGCACATTTGTGCAGTATGCAAAGCCTAAGATTAAAGACAGGGTGGTTTCAAGTTTAGAGAACATTTAAAATTATTGTTGTAACGTTGTGGGTTTGGAAGGTATACTGAAGCCAAAGGACCACAGCCTACTAGCTAAAGTATCTTGTTTCTGATGGCTTTCTTTCTTTCTTTCTTTCTTTCAGATTAGTGGCTAAGAGAGAGGCTACAGCTGTTTTGCTACAAAGAATTTTATGTATTTTCACGATGAACAAGGAAAAATATATATTGGACTACTATTCCCTCTGCAATACAATGTATATATTAGTAAGTATATTTTGTTCTTATGGATGCACAGACTTTGTATTATGCACATTCTCTCACCTCTCTACCAAGGGATATGTGGTACATTAAATAAAACTACTTTAGATATGGTTGATGCATAAAACAAGAGATTATCAAATACATATATGACTTATTAAACATAGGCAGTGTTACCTGTAGTTTAAGGGAGAGTCAACCATGTTAGTCTGAAGTCAGGTAGAAAGTAGGGGTACACTGATAGATAACTTTTGGACTGATGACGGATTTTTAACTAAGTCATATTGACCAATTCTGATCCGATTCCAACATGCAGCCGGGCACCACAGAGAGCAACGTTTGGCTGGTAAGTCTGTTGTGTGAGAAGGGGCCGGGAGGGGAGGGGGGGGGACACGACAGGGGCTGGGGCAGGTGCTGCACAGCCAGGGTAGAGCAGGGGACAGAGCTGTGAGCAGCTTGTCTGGGGGGCTGTTCCTGCTGCTGCATGCACCCTGGGGGAGGCAAGGGGTGCTTGTGCCCCTGGATCTTTGCATAGGGTGATGGTGGGCTGCTGCTGTGGGCTGGGGCCGGGGAGGCGCCAAGCTCTTCCCGGCAGGGGGTTGGGTCAGGGATGAGCTCAGGGTGGGCAGCAGCAGAGCTGGGAGGGGGCTGGGAGGGGGGCTACAGCCACCTGAAAATTCACTGTAGGCACCCCATCCCCATCCATAACCCCTGCTCCCAGCGCCGCTGCTGTTAGGCAGGGCTGGGGACAGAAGTTACACATAAACCAGTTATGTTAAGTTATCAGAAACTAGTTATCAGAAACTTGTTTAAACCTGTAACAGAACATAAGTTCAGTGCACATAAACCAGTTTCAAAATGGCCAAAAATAGTATAAGAAAAACCTGGTTGAATGTAGTATCAGACTTAACTGATTTGGGTCAAACCAGTTTATGGAATTTCTGTCCCAGACCCCTTCCTGGTTTAAGTTAAACCACAGTCTCCCCAGAATGCTTTTCAGCCCTGGGCTGGTCTGTGCTGTCTGTTCCAGAAAGCAAGGCTGGCCCCACCTCTTGCTTTCTAGTGGAGCAGTGGTGGGTGGGTGGCCAAGCATGGCCCCCTAAGGCTAAGGGGGCAAGGAGGGGGTTTATTCTCCTCTCCCTCCCCTCTTTGTCTGGGGGCTTCAGCCAGGGTCTGCCTGGCTGAGCGAAGCAGCCCCTGTCAGGTTAACACTCCCTTTACCACTACAGCGGCAGGGGTGTGGCCAGCACTGGCCAGCTAGCATGGCCCTGCCATCTGCCTGCCTTGCCTATGGCTGGGGCTGGGGAGCTAAGCCAGGCCAGCCCATAGGTACTGCTGAGGGCGGGTGTGGAAAACCTGGCCCAGGATGGGCTGTGGGGGCAGGGCCCTTCCCAGCAGGTTGCAGTTTGGGCTCGGGCTGTGGGAGATACGTGGCTGGATTGCTCCTGGCTCCCTGCACCCAGGCCAGGCCAGGCTAGGCTGTCATGGAGCCACAGCTGACTGGGAAGAGCCTGGCAGGGCTGGCCTGGGTTGGGCCATGGGGGTGGGGCACTTCCCAACCAGCTGCGCCTCCATGACAGCCCAGCCCAGCCCAGTCGAATGGCTGAGTAGCTGGCTGGGCAATGGTGTGGAGGTGACATAGCTGCAGCTGTGGGTGGGCGTCTTGACAGTTCGACTGGTCACATGGGATGTGTTAATCATGCTCGTGGCTGCCCAGGATGGCTTGGAAGTGCCGGCAGACCCAGAGCCCAGCAGCTGCCTGTCATTGGGGCTTGTGTGCTTGCAGCTACTGCCATGCCCTCTGTCCATCACTGTACAGCACCTGGCAAGCTGTAGCTACACCAGAAGCTAAATGCTGGCCAGGGCCACTGGGACTGTTCTGTCTCCCTTGCCTCCAGCTGCTGCTCCTGCCCCTGCCCCTGCCACACCACCCTGGGTGGGTGGGCAGGAAGCTTCAGCCCAGTGCCTTCTGCGCAGTGCACGGAGCTTATGCTCCAGCTCCTAGCCGCCTTGCATTGACTCCTAGCCTCCTGGCGTGATGAACAGCCCCTGCAGGTGGGCGGACTGGGTGGAAGGTGGCTGGGAGCTAGAGCTGGATCTTCATGCAGTGTGGCAATCCCAGAAAGAAGGAAGTGAAGGGACTGGTACAGGCAGCAGAGATACAGTTGAGTACAACTTGTTTTTGGCAGTGTTTTCATGTATGTCATGGGAAGGGTACAGCACGCCCTTGGTATCTTGAGAAGCTCATGTGATGAAAGCTTCTTTATCTTCTTCTCTAATCGCTTTCAAATACCACCTTGGTATCACATGCCATTTCTCACACCCATTCTATGGGCTTGGTAAAATCTACAGAGAGATAGTTCTGATAGGTGTGTCTCAAAAGGGAGCCTGTCTGTCACAACAAAGATTCCTGACCTCTTCTTCTCGCATCCCAATCTAACAGAAATGTTGGTGCTCATTAGCAGGATAATAATAATACCCTTTTTACAAAAAATTCTACATTTATTAGCAACTAAGATGTACACGCAAGGAAAAGAGCCTTTCCCTTATCACTACATGATCCACCCAAATTCAACTTTTCACCCTTGTTCTTCTTTGCACTGAAATACAGTGTGGGGTGAAATACAACTGATTTTAAATACTGAGATTGGCAGTTCCCTTAGGCATTTGGTCACCTAGTTGTCATTAAAATCAGTGAAAACTGGGTATTGAAATCCCCATGGAAACTTTTAACTATGTTTAAGTGTGTATCTCAGACTTACAAAGGAAAATAATTCAAGGGCACAGGAGTCAGTTGGCTCAATGCTGGGGAAACTGAAGGAACATTATGGCCTGCAAAGAGGCTAGATGAGATGATCTCACGGTTCA